CCGTATGTATCAGGGATGCTCAAATTTATTAGGACTAGAACCCTCCCTCTCCTTTATGAACCTGAACAACTTGTGATCTCCCAGTTTTAAAGCATCCAAAATAAGATAAAATGAGTACTTTTCTTGCTTGGATAACACTTGCTAGGATACTACAGTTCTACACATACAATTCTTTTTCAAGCTAAAAAATATGAAAACTATGAATGCAACTTTCTGTTTGCCCCTCGGGGATTTTGACCTTCAGTTTAAAACCTGCTATAGTTGGTTGAAGCTACAGACCTACAATCATTAAATGAACTAAAGATTTTGAATCACTATATTTTTAGAATAATTTTAGTACATAGTCAGAATGAAGTAAGTGTTGTGTTGTATTGTATGGAGAATCTTTTTCTCTTTTACATGTGAATGTGTACTTCAAAATAATATTAAGTGAATACTGCTTCTTTGTTTGAAAGTGCCAAGATTGAGAACCTAATTAACACATGAAAGAACCCGAGTTTCAATACGTGTTTAGTAAGTATTGTATGACACTAAAAAACACTAAGGACCTTTCTTTGCACATACTAAAATATATATGTAATTACAATATCAGGCAGGTGTATGTAGGGATGGCTTGGATTGTTCATCCAAATGGTATTTTAAATATCTCCTCAATGGGTAATCAGAAGCTTTACAATACTATACAGTGTTTCCTTTTATAACAATATTTACGTAATGACTGAGTGAAAAGAACTGGCAATGTCTGTAAATATTGAATCTAGGTAAAAAAAAAAGTCAATTGGAAATAATGACAAAGAAAATTACACAGGCAAAAAAGCCAAAAGTATGTGATAACAAAAAAGCAAAATGCTTATTTTGGAATTTGTCATTTTATACCATTCCTAAAATCTAGGACTTTTTTTAACCTTTTACCTGTTTGTGTAATTTTCTTTGTCTTTTTTTACCCTTGTCACTGGTAAATATCATAGCAAAAAGTTTAAATTTCTTGTTCCCTTATCTGCTTCTTCTTTTCTATTACATGATAACTCAAAAATCAAAACAATGTGTCACTGAGGTGACATAGTTTCAAAGTATTTATAAGTATTATTAACTGGTAGTAATTAAAAAAAAATCATAATTTTAGTATAAACGATGTTGCCTTTACCCCTTGAAGTTAGCTTTCTTACAGAAACTTGGTGTTCCTGTAAAAAGCTTACATCCAGGGTTAAACAGGAATTACCTGCCAATAACAGATGAATAATAAATATTACGTTTGGAACCTCATTGTATTTAGAACTTGGTTATAAATACAACCTTCCTATGTCTATTGAAACACTGCATTAAAAAAACAGCAAAAACTTTTCAAAAAAGAAAGTAAATGTAGGAATGGCTAATATCAATCCTTCAAAAACAATGTAAACAAGATAGTATGGATGGTATTTGCATCATAACAGCACAGGCAAGAAATAACATATACCAATATATATAATTACTCAATCACAGTTGAGTTTAATTTATCTTATTTTTGTTTGTTAACATTCTACTACATTGTGTGCCTGTGCTATTATGTAGGGATGATGCAAATGCCATCCCTACTATCTTGTTTGTATTGTATTTGAAGGACTGATATTAGCCATCCCTAATCCCTACATTTACTCTCTTTTTTGAAAAGTTTTTTTTTTTTTACTTGTATATTTTTGATTTGTTATCCTAATGATTGTAGTCAACAAATAGTATAGACTGGAAGAAATATCTAGTTGAGGAGCAGTAGTCTAAGATGTTAGTGTCTGTACTTATTGTAATTGAGAGAGATTGTGTACATAAAAACAATGACAAATGTATGCTTCTTTGTAATGAGTCACCATTGTTTTATTATAAAACATCTCTGGCATAATCTGAAACAGGTTCACCTCTACAACCAAGAAATGCATCATAATTTGTACCAATCCCAACTGGCTGTAGATGTTACCAAAGTTAAACCCACTGTTAAAGGTTATATGGAAGCTTTGTGTCGTGCTCTACCCATACGTGTGCTGAAGTTAAGAACCCCTTTACGTCTTCAGGACATAACATTTGAAGACACTAGTCATGTGAGTACTGACAAGATGTTTTAATTAACTTATACATAATTGGCATTTGTATATTTTGATATCCTTCAAGTGGTAGAATTAGTTTACTTCCAGGCTGTGTTTAAATGGTATGAATATTTTTTTGTTCATAAGACAAACTCAGTGACATAACTCAGTGACAAGTGGTGAATCTAATAATAGACTGGGTTTCATATTATTATGATTTATTAATTACAGCACATAACAGGAATACTTTATTCTTTGCTTATGAAACATTAACTTTCTTATAAATCTGTCTTGATAGATGTGTGAAACGGGGTGTGTGTCAGAAAGAAACAGTAGCATTCTTTCCACAGCTGCAACTGAAGAATTGTTGAAAATGGAGGAAAACTGGGATACTCCTCTTAATAAGGCTCTTCCACTCAGGTATTTAAAAGATTTAGTTGATTTAAGTTAATAGTTTCTCGATGAAATTAACTATGATCTATAGTCACCTTTACTACACAGTGTAAATGAAAATTATAAATTTTGTTACATAACTAGAAACACTTAAGCTCTGTAACTTGTAAGTCAAGAAATACCTTCCAAGTTGTCACTCTTCCAAAGCCTCATATTAACTTTGGAAGCAAAATACGAAGTCTTTAGGATTGCTTTGTAAAGCAAGTCTCTCACTAGAATGCTGTTGATGGCTACAAACATTCTAGTATTTAGGTAACGTGTTTATTCTCAGTAACATTTTTAGACTTTCTTTTATTGTCACCTTGTTGATTATCAGACAGATGACTGATTCTTGTAAAAAAAGAGATTACTTTATGACTTTTACATCATTATCCCTGTGATTTTATTAGAAGCTAAGCTTTTAACCCATCATCTTGAGTGGTGTACTAGTATGTTTAATGACATGATCTAAAATTAATCTTTTGTTAATGTACTATTTGAAAGAAACAAGTGTGTTTTTTTACATGCTTGTGATACAATAATATAAGAATATTAAGAACTGTCGCATTAAACATAAGATGTCGCAAGAAAAAGTAATTTACTTTTTCACGTTTTCAGCTATCTTGACTTAAACATATAGATTTCTACTGGTACAAACACTAAGATAACCGACAGATATGTTTATGTATAGGCCAGTTATGTGTTACATGCTAAATAGTAGTTAATGAATGGAATTGTGATATTTTCCTAATCTATGGTACAAGTAAACCCATACTAATAAATGTGTACAACTGTTTATATGGTCATCATTAGTATGATAGGTAAAACACACACACCAGCCTGTGACTTTTAGGGTCAGTATGTTAGGCATGTGATTATTAGCCTATAGTATTTTAGTTTTTAATCACTTAGGAATCCAGGTGGTTAGGGAGCTTGACTTGCAATCTGCGGGTCGATTGATTCGAATCCCCGTCCCACCAAACATGCTTGCCCTTTCAGCCGTCGGGGTGTTATTATGTGACGGTCAATCCCACTATCCATGGTAAAAGAGTAGCCCAAGAGTTGGTGGTGGGTGGTGCTGACTAGCTGCCTTTCCTCTATTCTTACTCTGCTAAATTAGGGATGGCTAGCGTAGATAGCCCTTGTGTAGCTTTGTGTGAAATTCAAAACAAACACTTAGGAAGTTCATGCCATTCTCATTTTTAGTACAAAAATACACTATACAGTAAGAAAAAAGATATGAATAGAGGGTTGTATATCACATCACTGTACAGTGTTAAGAACTTCCCCTTATAGATAGATATATACAAGCTGAGATACCTGTCCTTTGTCCAGGTTATGAACTTTAAATGTGTGGGTGGATGCTATGATAAATAACACAAAAATCCTAACTTTCACACAATTTATTTATAATAGCATTATTATAGTATTCATTATTTCCTCACAAATAGTTTTCTATAAGCTTTAAGAACTCAATATGTATATACTTAAAACATGGTATATACTGTGTGATTGTCAGGTGAGTTTGTAGGAAGCGGTAGCAGCCAAAGTAGTGATGGTATGGGTGCTTTCTTTTATCTGCTTTTAAAATCAAGTTCTTAATGTCCTACCACAGTTTCACATGATTAATTAATAGATGGTCATTGGCCACAGAATTGTCTTATGGCCAGAAACTTCAGCTGAGGTTTGTGTATTATTGCAGTAGTGGCAGCCATTTTTTTAATTGCATTCCTCCATATAGAGTGCTGTGTGTATATTGTGTTATAGAAAATTTTATAATTTTTTTTTGTCAGTGTAAGGATGTGGTGCTATCTGTGGATGTAGTTAACATTAACTTATGTCAAAGATAATAAATGGTCAATAACAGCAATAAGGGGTAGTGGAGGGGGTTGTGAATCCTCCATTAACATGCTCCTTCTTACAAACTATCATCCCACAAAGTTCGGTTGAGATTGGCCGAGTGACCCAGGAGTAGTTAGATAACAGACAAACACAAAGATTTTTTGCTTTATGTATATATATATATATAAAACATTCCTAGCCCTGTGCCTAGTGTGCAATGTATACTCCTGCATGTATAGATTTTTACCAGACATGGTATATCTGCCCTTATAGCCTTGAAATTTGTTTTTAACAGTACCCCAGTCACATGGACTGTTATGATATAGTGTATTACCATTTTATAACTTTGGTGCAAAATTTCAAAATGATGCTTGATGAATGTGTGAACTTTTCACAAAGATGTGTTTAAATTAAAAAAATTGAGATTAAGCACTTATTTAGATTACAAAAGAAAAGTGCTTTGTAGTTGGAAAGAAAAGTAGACAGAAGTTAGTATTTCTTTAGACTGAATCTCTATCTTTATTACATACTTAGGTTCAACACTAAAGACTTACTAAAAGAAAATATTCCCAATAATCATTTGATACCAAGTACTGTTGATGCCGTAGAAGAAACAAACCATGATGATCACAATGTCTCTGTTGACCAGCCACAAAATACTTACTTAAAACCAATGAAAGGATCTCATAAATACATGACCGTCCCACACTTTCATGGTGAAAATAAACTAACAGGAGAGTTCAGCAGTTTGAGGCATAGGTGAGTTAAAGGTCAAAGTATAAAGACCACATGAAAATAATATGATTAAATATTTTAGTATAAGGTTCTATAATTATGGTGTTTCTATGTACCAAACTTAGAATAACAAGTAAACCAGAATTTGTTTGATAGATTAGGAACCAAAGTCACAGATTAAGGGCTTTTGTGTTACTTCTCTATGCAAACTAGTAAAATAATTTCTTAATTTTTTTAAGTACTAAAAATGTTTATTTTGATATGAAATAGTTTAATTGCACATTAGATAACAAAAGTCATACTACAGTTTCAAGATGTATAATATATTATCTCAATTTAACTCGGGTTAATAGCACGAGGTGATAGAGTTGTATTCGTAAGTTGTATGGTTTAATTTTTATTTATATACTTACTTTAATCGTTTTGTAGAAAAGAAATCACACAAATTAGACAGATGTTTATTGCAAATTTAACCTATTTAAATGATGTACTTTCAGGAAACCACAACATTTTCATGCCAGTCCAAGTTATAAAAAATCTTTATCAAATAGCAATCTAGAAAACAAGGATGAAAAACCATCTGTTAAGTTTGGTTTAAAGCAATGGAACACAAATCAACACAATGAAAATAAGCCAGACACTACAATTAAGACAGATGCTGGACCAAAAAATATGGCTTCTGATGAGGATGTCAGCTCAGAGAAAAAGATGTCTGTTACAGAATCAAACACGCCTCACATAAATATTATAAAAGCAGAAGAGTTTGAGTTAATGCCAGGTATTCTTATGAGTGGCCCCTCTGCTGAACTGTAGGTTACCAAATCTCTTTTCTTCACACTTTAAAATTTTAGGAAGAAATAGTTGGGTTTGTATAAGCCACTATTTGTTTTAAATCCATCACTAAGAGACTTGGAAAATGTGACTTACCTTTGAAAATAGCCATAGGTTTCTCTCCTCTTTGAGATTCATGAATAAAAAAATGTTTTCTGCTTTACTGTTACACTATGTTCTTTTTATAGGTTAGTTGATTAAGAGTCACAATTTCCCAAATTATAAGCTTGAGATAATAGCAACTAAATCTTCCTTACTTTAGTTCAGTCTTCTGTGTTTTTAGTTGTAAGTAATATTTAATTTATATTTTAATCCAATTTTAATTACACTTAAAAAGAAATATTAACTCATGAATGTAAACAAATCTTTTTCATGTTGTTAGAAACTAAAATTCAAGTAATTTTTAGTAATATTGTTTTTTTTTGTATTATAGCTTTTGGCTTTATTCTCACTAGGTAACCATGCTATTAATTCACATGAGTAAAACTATTTTAACGTACTCTAATTTCTGATGTTGTGTTTTATAGTTACTATGAATGCTAGTTCGGCAAATTTAGTTTGAAATAATAGTCAATAACAATAAAATATAAAAAAAAAGACAAAATAATAGTTTAAATAGTTTATTGTTATGAAAGTATCACACTGTTTTGCAATACAAGTTTCTAGATTGATAACATAAACCTTTGTAAGAGAAAATATGATAAAGTAAATAAAACAATTGTAACCTACTCCTAAGATATTCATATTCACGAGTATTTATAAATAAGTTAATTTAGGGCTAAATATTGTAACCATAGCTCATTTCACTATTCCTTAAAAAAAAAACAATGGATTAACTTTTTGAACTTACAACAACATTAACATCACTGCAGGTCACGTTGTGCTCAGCTTTTTTAAACTCAGTTACCACAGAAAATGTTTAATGTTCAGAAAAATTTATGGTACATATATTATATTATATTTAAATTAATTTCAAGGTTGAAATTATTATATATCCTCTCATCACTCTTTTCATATTTTACGATTGTATATTTTAGTATTACAAACTCGTTAAAGATTGCATGCTATTTTCGAAGAAATGTTATAAACTTATTTCCATAAGTCACACATAAAACACAAGCTTAATTAGAAACAACAGTATAAGTTTTCTAACTACTAACTTAAAGATATATATATGCCAACCATTCAATTGAACCTCTGTTATATAAATCTTTTCCCCAATAAAAATATTTACTTTAAACCTCAATTATAAGTTTCTAACAGAATTTACATTTACATCCAGGTGAAGAAAAGTAGAAAATAGTAGAAAAATTCAAGTAGAAATCACATGAAGCTTTTAGTTAGTACGGCTATTATTTTCAAGTACTTTCCAAAACATCTGTTGTTTACTTAAATCAGGCAATAACGGCAGACCTAGGTATGATAAATTACTGTACAGTTTCTAAGGGTGGAGATGAGGATAAGTGAAATATCAAAACCTCAATATGTTTCCAGAAAGCCCCCAAAAGGTAGAGTGACAGTTTAAAAATATAAAGTTACAGATTAAAATCTGACCAATATATTCTTTTGAGGTCAACAGAAATGTCCAGTTTTATATATTCATGCTATGATTATTAGGTTATTAAACTTGTATTTATCTAAATTTCAATGAATTAACATTGTTTTTATTCAACATTATGCAAGGATAAAGTACAAAATGCATTTCATTAAAATGTTTTTATATAGGCTACAGACTGTAATGACTGATAATATACTGCTGATGTTGCAAGAATAATATTCTTACTACAACTGTTAACATTGATAAAAAAAAGTAACTTCCCAGTCTTTACTGGCATGTTCACGTGAAATAAAAGTAGTCTTGAACACCACTGATGAGCAGGATGGAAAGTAATTTAAATAAACTACTTTTTAAAAGTTAAACAAAATACAAGCTAAAATAATTTCTGTTCTAATGGATTACAAGGATAAGAAGAGAGAAATGATGCAACAGTCTAGTTAGCTCATTATACTGTGAGGTTTTATATCATATTGAGGATACATAAATACTGCAAGTCTTTAATTCAATAACGAATGCCCTTAATAACATACATATTATTCATAAGAACAGTTTGCTTTCACTTATTTTCTGTTTATTTCTTGAAGTTTTCTTTATAAATAAAGATACAGTACTTTTTTATGTGTGCTGATAGTTTTTCACTCCTCCATTACCAAGAACATCTTATTAAAATATATGACCTAACGTGTTATTACATGAAATAACTAAGTGCATCTGGTGAAGTAAGTAGTACAAAGTAACACTATTACTATAAAGTGCTTACAGTTCATCATGTTTAGGCCCACTGAATTCTTCATGTGAGATAAAACCATTCTTATCCTTATCTTCATGTTGAAAGATCTCCTCAACAATCTTGCCTTGTTCAGGAAGGTCCTTAATTCCTGCTGCTTCAGCTTCTGGCAGTTGTTTCTTCAGGTAATCACTTATCTGTGGAGGAAAAAACAACAACAAAAAGGTTTAGGGCAATACTGGCAAGTCACATGTTTTTAGAAAATGCTGCACTATAAAAAGGCATTTGATTGTGAAATAATGTTTTATCTTATTTAAGATTTTGTTGGTCAGCTGGATATGATGTCATGCTTTTAAATCTCAAAAATCAGAAAAAAAAATTTCATAGTGGTTGGTTCAAAGGTGATATGTTGCAAATTTATTTTTAAACTCAAGTACAGAGTGACTCAACAATAATAAGACTCCAGAAAAAACTTAAAAGAATGCTTTTCCCAACAGAAATCTATCCAGGTAATGTACTGTAAACACAAATGTAAGTGAGAATGGAATAGGTCAGTTGAAAGAAAATAATGAGCTACATTTCATTATGTTACAGTTTTTTTAAAGTTATTGCTAACAATAACAAATTAGTTGAAATCTTCAAAATGCCCTCCATCTGCAATCTTGTGCATAAATATTGAAAATTTAAGCAATGTTGTAACTGTAATGATTCTTTTGTAGGCATTGGCTCTCATAGTTTTGTTGACAAGTTTGTTTTCAGACAGTCTTGCCTCACAATTCAGATTTATTAATGTCCCAAAGTCTTTGGGAATAAAATCTGTCCTTGAGCACAGTCCAAAAGAAATTATCCAAGGTGTCAGAGGTCTGGCAACCTAGGAGGCCATCTGAAAGGACCTCAGTGATCAATTCATTGATTAGGAAACTGTTTGATTTTTTTTTTGAGATTTCTTTGCCAAACTTTATTCAGTATTAATTCATATTCTGTGTTTGTTTAGTTCATGAGCCCCATCCCACAGTTTTGGAGCTAATAGGCACAAACTTGGCAGAGGGGTACTCAAGGTGGCCTAGGGAGGGACTATCCTTATCTGTAAAGCATAGCCTTATACCAAGAGGGCTAAAATGAGCCCAGAAGGTCATTCAGGCATGGAGGTCTAGGAGTAGAATATCAGGGTTACCAAACCAGAACCTGATGTCAGATTCTGTGTTCTTGGCCCCCTTGGAATTCTGGGAGCACTATGTTCGCAACTGTGTTCATAACCCCACTCGCAGACTAGTAAGATCAAACATGGCACTTGTACTCAGGTACAAGGGGTTTTTGGATATGGACCCACTTTGGGGTAGCTACAGAGGTAATTCGAGATAATGAAGAAAATTGATCAGTATATTAGGGCCTCTGTGAATCACGAGGGGCCTTTGAATCTTGCAGTGGAGCATGGATATTTTATGCTAGTATTGTTTCATTAGCTTTCCTTCAAAATACATACATTCTACATCATTGATATTGTGTATATATATTTAGTTGCTGTATCCTGTAAGTGGTGAGTAAAATGAAAGTTTTGATTTTAAGAATCTTGCATATTAATTATCTTAAACTGAAGTTTATTTGAACATTGGGGTAGAAGTATCTGAAAACAAACTGAAAGCCAAAGCAGTGTTATGTGATAAATGAACTCTACAAAGGAATCATTACAACACAGCTTAACTCAATATTTTTTTCAACCTAAAGTATTTTTGAATGTAAAATAAAGCCTTAAAGGTTCTCTTTTCAGGATTGTATTCAATCATTAGATTTTGCTTAATTGTCTTCTTAAAATAGAGGAACATTTCATATGCTTCTGAGGTTCCTTGGAACTTTGAAGAAAACTGTGTTTTGTAAGTGAAAAGAGATAAAAAAAGACATCAGTATACTTTGTCCATTGTGTCTTGCAAGATAAAAGAGGAGCCAGTCAATTTAATGAGAAGGTTTAATATTTAAGAAGTCTACCATTTGTTTTTGCCAACTCAAGCTCCATACATTTGCAAAGTCCCAAAAACATTAAAGGGGTTTTTAGACAGAAACTCTTCAGGACACAGTGTTCATTTTATGTTACAGTGAATATTGTGCAATATTTCTTGCACATTTTTACATGAATTAGCAGGAAGGAAAATCTGTATACTTATATTTTATGCTCAAATTATAGAAACATAAGTAATATTTTGTGGCAGATATAAAAAAAATAAAAAGTGGAACATATTTTTGTTTCATTTCACTTATAAGTGTAACAAGCAGAAAATTCTGACTATGAACAATGATCTTTTAACAGAAACAATACATATGTCTACATTTTTCATACAGACATGATGTAACCCAATATCTGATTAATAAATACGTTGTACATGTACAAAAACAGCCAAATTAAAATCAAGAGGTCAACCATATAAATGAGGCAAGGGGGCAAACCCTGTAAAGATATAATGTAAAAGTGGGTAAGTTAAGCAAGAAAAATTGGGGAATACTTAGGCCCCTTTTTTTATTGCAACTGGAACAAACAGTCTAATTTGGCTGGAGTCACTACTGCATGTTTAGAAATTATCTAAGTACCAAAACCAAAAAAAAAGGCAACAGAAGTACACAAACACACACAAACTTCACTTAATAAATCAATACATTATAATCATTATAAATTTTTGTTTTCCTTTGATTTGTAAGATTTGTTTTTTATCTCGGATCTATGTAATTACTTTGCTTTGATCAAAACTACAGATAAATGCCTACTTTTCTCTTTTGAAAACAAATACATTAAAATGGTCAATTGTACTTCCAAAACTTGAAAATAACTTGGTAGATGAAGTACACTTTAAAGCTACAGAGTTTGGGAACACCACGATAATAGCTTACTTCATCACGTGAGAGCTGTTGATCTGCATTACTGTCTATTTCCTTGAACACGTTGACAGGTGGTGGTCCATCTTGTATTTCCAAAAGTTCTACTTCAAATATAAGTGTGGCTTTGGGAGGAATCTTCTCTCCTGAATAGTAAACTAAAATAATTTTAGTATAATATGGAAGTTTGATATGCATAATTCCTGTACATGTATATAAACATATTTTAGAAAACATATTACATGCAAGACCATTCAATGATTCTATATAAAACTAAAAATCTTCTTGTTATGGATTAGGCTTTAGCATTTCACTAGATTTACGAGTAAATGAATTTGATACTGATAGGATATCTCAAAGGTTCCAGTAGAAGAGGTCCTCTTCAAAACTATACTTTACTTTTAATAGCAAATTCACACCCAAAACACTATTCTGCATTTTAAACAGAATAAATACATTTATATAAGAAAAGAAATAATTACCCACAGCAATTCTGTACTACTTAATGCAGAATAATAAACATGAAGATGCTCTATCCCACAATGAATAAACTTTTACTAATAGAGTGAAGGTTTTCAAGAACTTTCAGATCTTCGCTTTTAATTTGTGTTCAAAACTTCAGCTTTCTCTCAGTAGGCTTCATTTACTAGGTGGGTAATTGGTTATTGCAGGTCATCCATTAAAAACAAGCAAAAAATAAGTTGGGCTAGACCCAAAGAAAATTATTACTTGTATTTCATTAATGTGAAGCATATATTTTATGGCTACTACTACTATGGAATTATGCATACATAGTAAACTCTTGCTTTCTCTCTAGTCTCTGCTAGGTTGGACCAATAATAACTATGAAGAATTTAATAATTGTCAGAAATAGAATACTTCTATCTTTAATAAAGTTGTACCTCATAAAAAAATGTAAATATTCATAATTGCTTACAAAAAGCTCTCAATGACTTGAGTTAAAAATACATACCACATCTTTCCCATCATGAATTTTTCAACCAATAAACTTAATTTTATATGGAAAACTATAAATTACAGATATTTTGTTACAGTGGTGGTATCTGTAATATCCTGAATTTTTCCAAAAACTACAACTGTTTTAATGTGTTTAGTGAATTTTTTTACTGGTTTTGGAAAACAAGGAAATATTTAAAAAAATAATTAAATATGGTCAACTTTACTCAGAAACTTATCATAGCTTTCTAGTGCTGATTTACTGAAACGGAAAGAGTAGCTAATAAAAAAAATCATAGATTTTAGTATTAACAACAGAAACCACCTGCTCCTGAGTCTCCATAACCCATGTGAGGAGGTATTGTTAATCTTCTTTTTTCTCCGACACACATGTCTACCAGGCCTTCATCCCAACCTTTAATGACTTGACTAATTCCAAGTTGAAACTGGAATGGTTCTTTTCGGGTGTAACTAACAGAAGGAAAGCTTGTTAATTTTATTGCTCAATGTACTGTATGGTGAAATGAATAAAATAGGCTAGTGAAAAAAAAATTACAAGTTAAATCAATATACATATCTATCTGTTACTTGACTCCACGATGACAGCTACTAAGTTAGTGAATGAATGTAGATTGTACTTGTCTATTAATTGAAAAACCATTCAACAGAAGGTATGTGTTAAAATGAAGAGGCAACTGTCTACTTAAAACTTAGATAAATTTATATCTAAAATTTTTATAATACTGTTGCTATTGTGAATGACGTGATTTTGAGGCAACGGAATCTAAACAATGGATATTATGATTCGCAGTTCGACACGCTAACCACTCATCCACGCCCAGCCCATTATTATTTTAAAAAAAAACTTATTTTATGGACACTTCAGAATAACATATTTTAATCTCTCATATCAATTTAACAAATATGAAGTTACTTTCTTGTATGACATAATGCCCTAAGATATTCAAATTACAAAAAATATAATAAAAATTACTAAACCAGTAAACAAAATGACTCCTTTTTAAACCTTAATTAGTTGTATTTCTTCAGCGACTAGTGCATATTACACATCTTGAAACTAGTTTTTTACAGACTGTAAGAAAAATGTTTAAAAATTAAACAGGTTTCAAACCTTGAATCAAACTCTGTTCCGTCATCTAAGGTACCTCTATAATGCATAGATAGAAGATCGCCTTTTTTAGTTGTTTTATCACATTTGTCAGGTTTTTTCAAAACGTCCACTTCCAACTCATCGTTTTCCTGGGACCCTGCTCTTAAAACATGATTAAACTGTACTAGAATAAATATTAATGTAAAATATGATAAAAATGGATGCATATCCGAAAGTTTAAAACCAACGTATAATAAAGCAGTTTATGTTCCTCCGAGTTATACGTGGGTTAATAATATACCTTGTCATCACGCTACTCAGGTGCACACGTGGCCTACGTAACCGGAAGTTTTACTTTGCGAAAAGGTGATTGGTTCAAACTTCAAGTGATGCTTTGTTGACTTTTATCGTGCCTCGTTTCAGATTCAAAGACTTACCTATGCTGTCCACTGGTGAAAAGACTTGTAACATCACGATAGTTTTGAGAGTTCAGTGAACTTCAAAAAAAAACTTTTTCAGTGAGTAAATACGAAAACAGAAATGTGTATAGAAGAGTTCTTCAACAACGAGATTTCAGAACAACTATTTCACTGTTCAATTTTGTTTTATTTTTTACATGAACACCTAGTTCATTTGTTAACTCGTGTTACTTTCGTTATTTAAATCTAATAGTTATTCTAGCTGGAGAAAATGGAACACGATTGAAGTATATATTATATATACACATTTCTAATGTGGTTTGTTGCAAGGAATCTATTTTTCACTTCGTGTACTTAGTTTCGAGACAATTTAAACACTAGAGTGTTGTTTGTTTGTTTTTTTTTAATTTCGTCGCAAAGCTACACGAGGGCTATCTGCGCTAGCCGTCCCTAATTTAGCAGTGTAAGACTAGAGGGAAGGCAGTTAGTCATCACCACCCACCGCCAACTCTTTTACCAACGAATAGTGG